TTACAGTGATTCCTTGTACCCTAAAACGCTACATGCCTACAAATTTTGAAAATCCTTGATTGAAACTTCGACCTGGAAACAAGTACGAGCCCATATTACACAATCCTCCGGAGTCTTTGGCCTTTCATCGACAAGTGACCGTTTTATTTGTTCAAGTAATTGAATCTATAAATTGATGCAAGAATCAACAACGACTACTATTTTGAGACCTTTCAAGTGTTAACAAATAACTAATGGAAGATCAATGCCTAAACCATATAAAACCTGTCTAACCGGAGATGAAAATACAGCGTATAAAATTAAAAACTTGCTCCCAGTAAGCTTAGAAGCTTTAACTTTCTCAAGTGGCATTTTCAATGCAAATGAAACATGTTTCTCCACCTACAGCGTCGTTTGCAGAAAAAAAAAAAAAAAAAAAAATGTAAGCTGACTCGCTGTCCCATATTCATCGACTCTAATCGTCCCAAGAACGCCCGCTCATCAGCTAAAAACTGGTTAACTGTTTCGGCAGAGTACGAAAAAATCCCTTCAAATAGGTCCCTGGCCCATTGGATAGTATGATGAATCTCGTTTGGGAAGTTTTTCAACGTGCATATTGGAATTTCTCTTTCAGGTGGATCGACAGAAGATCTATAATTGCGAATTTCTGTAAACTGGGTAAATGAGTCCTAATACCAATACAGCTACGTAAATTTTAAAAAAGTGGCTTTCAAAATTTTTAAAAATTTAGAAGCTCACACCTTACTAATTAAAAACAGAAAAGTGAAGAGTTATCAAGCACTGTTAAAAAGCTTTAGAAAGATGCAAATTACATAATGTCACATTTAAAATAAACATTTAATTTAAAACGACTACTAAGCACCAACCCGTACGATTCCGTGAGATAAGGATAAACAACTTGTATGTTCCCTTTCGCTCCCATTGTTCCAGATTCTAGTAATGGAAGGCGGTAATAAATGCAACGCCTGTCCACATATCTTCCTGAAAATATTGTTTTCTTTTAAACTGCCCAGAATAGGCAAAGTTGACACAAACGTATTAACACCCTCAAAAGAAGTAAACCAAAAAAATGTAGCGCCATGTGACTCACTAGCATCAACATTGTCAAGAGCATTCAAAATACAGTCAAGACCAGTGAAAAATGAGTCATTAAAAACTGCTTCCGTTTCCGGTCCAACTCTTTCAGAAAGTGCTTGTATTTTTAAATTATGGTTGAATCCCAGAACAGCTTTAGCTGCAACTTCCGATTTTTTGCCCTGAATACAGCAAATAAATTACAGGTTTGAAATACGATACGCCGATAATAGAAAATACAAAAAAAATTTTGAAGTACCCCAACATCTTTCCTCCTAAATAAAAACTGTCTGTTCAAATTGCTGATCTCAATCTGATCCATATCAGTTATTTTTATGCTTCCGTCGCCTGTTGCCACACCCATCATAGCAAGATTTTTCAAAAGCTCACAACCGATAGCACCTGAAATAAACTGTGTATAACACGCAGTGTTTTTAAAATAAATACTGTGCAGCAAGTACCCAACCACCACAGAATTAGGAATCGCAACAACTGTTCTCGGTATCAAAACATACCAGCACCAACAATGAAAAATTTTTGGTTGGCAAGTGCTTCTTGATAAGCTCTCCCAAATACCGCAATTTGCCCATCATAGCGTGATTGAGTCTGAAACAGCAGTGAGACTGAAACTACACCGGAGAATAAAACTTGTTTGTACGCCTAGAATCTCCGGAAAATTTTCCACCCTCGGTTTCAAAATTAGAAAATTTCCTCATAGTCCCGCCCTGCAAGCCCCAATTCCGATGAACAATCTATAACCTTGTTTACCCTGAATTGTTTCTCCTTCGTAAAGAGTTCAAAAAGAAAAAAGGAAATCCACGAATAGCGAGTCAAAGCACATACAGGTTTACAATCCTCAGCAGTCAACTTTGCATTATCAAACGGCGACCATTCACCCGGCAATGCCTCAATACAATCAATATACAAGTACTGCTTCAGTGGTGTCATATGATGAGTGATTGCCTTCATCGCTTCTTGAGCTGCAATTCCACCAACAATTGAAGAAATTGCTACCAGATTTCCTGAGGCCTAAAATATGTAATTTTTAAGCAAAACTTAGGCAATAAACTAATGCTAACTAGTTTCACTGAAAACTGTTACCTGATAGCTAAAAAGCTTGATGAGATTCTCTTCCACAACGATATCTTTATTCGAGTCCTTACATTTCAAGATTTCCTCTTCAAGCAACTTTACGTCTGAATCGCACCTCGGTGAAGGCGAACGACCATGCTTTAAAACAATTTATAAAATCATAATTAAAAATGACACCTGTTTGCTTCACAGCTTTTAAAGTTGTCATGACAAAAACAACTAAAATATACAAAGCAATATTTGATCCTATATAGTAGCAAGCCGCAGAAAGTCAAGAAATTAAAAAAATCTACAAAAAAAGATAAGTAAAAACGATACAAACCTTTTCTTCAAATGCGTACAAGCCTTGCCACAAAAAGTGCAGCTGAGCGGGATAATTAAATTTTGCAAAGTCCCAAACCAGAAAATCTGGATTAGTCAATGATTCTGAGAGGGTTTTGAAAGAAACATATTTTGGCAGCTTTACTTGTATAGCTTTGCCACCTTCAATATAAGGAGAGAACTTCTCCGCAATTTTCCCGATATTAAACACATGAGGTTCTGTAACGCAAATCGTATTAATGCCACTGAAAAAAAAGCAAAAAAAAAAAAAAAAAA